TGTGCACACTCCGTCTGTATGCACATATATACAAGTGAACGACACTATCACACAGCCAGGATGAAAGTTTCTGCAGTCTTTAATGATGGCATTGCTCATACCCAGGCATACCAACGAATTACGGCCCAACCCAAGCATGAACGTCATATGATGCTCTGCCTGTCTGTTTGAGTGTCTGAGAGGGTTTAATGCATGTGCCTGTTAGGGAGTAACAGATGCTGAAAACTAATCTGGTGAGACCACCTAATCTGGGATGTGTGTGTATCTGTGTGTGTGTGCACACTCCAACAGCATGCACTGCATTTATCCTCTACGTTAAACAATGTGAACAGGTGGTTCCACCAAAAATGCACTGTGAGTCTGAAAGTTAAATACCTTCCATGCTTGTACCCACAACATTCTGGATCTGATCCTATTAGTAATTACATCACTGACATGATGCCACTCATGAGGAGCCTCTTGCAGGAGGAAGTGTCAGTCATTTTGGTTAGAACAAAATAAAGAGATTTTTATGAGAAATAAATGATTACTGTTCCAAAGCATACATTAAATACACATCATCTTCTGTTATTCATATATTTTACACACAACCTAAATGAGTTGCTCCATGGGTAAACCTGATTTGATCCCAACACTAAATTCAAATGTAGTATTTGCTCCTTTTCTTCCTTCAAGTTCTCTGCAAACATTCTTTGAATCTACTTCTGATTTTCACCAGTCTTACCTCGACTTCACAGGTGAAGTCGGTCCCATCCAGGAGGGTGATGTGGCACACTACCACCTTCATCTTGGTCTTTCTCACCAGGCGAAGAGGAGACTGGAAAATAGATGTCTGGTTGTCTCCTCCCTCCCTTTCAGCCTCCACCTGTCCTTTCTCCTTCTTCTCCTCTTCAACTCCTTCTACCTCTTTTGTCTCCTTGGTCTCGTCTGAGCTTTTCTCCACGTTCTCGTCCACCTTCTCCTCCTTGGCCGGCTGCAGAGAAAAAGGGAAAAATAGAGCGTCTGACAAAGGTTATGCACGCAACACTAAAGGAGTTCAGATTTCCTCTAAACTGAGAATCAAGGACAGTTGTCTCTTTTGAACTCTCCTCCCTGTCTTCTATTCTGAAGCTGGTTAAAGAAAAGGGGTGTTTCTTTTGGCTTCATGATAGAAATGCTGATGTCACTGGATGGAACAGCTCATGCGTGCATCAGAGAATTTCGCAATTTCTCTAGCCTGAAAAGCAGTTTTAAAGAGTAAATATGATGTTACATTATCTCAAGCCTGTTTTTGATTAACATATATTGAACAAAAAACATAAATGCAACACTTGTTTTTGCTCACATTTTTCTCAAAAACCCAAGACTTTCTATGCACACAAAAGGCCTTTTTCTCTCAAACATTGTTCACAAATGTGTGTAAATCTGTGTTAGTGAGCACTTCTTTTTTTGCTGAGATTATCCTTCCACCTCACAGGTGTGGCATATCAAGATGCTGATTCGCCGGCATGATTATTGCACAGGTGTACATTAGGCTGACTGCAATAAAAGGCCATTCTAAAATGTGCATTTTTATTGCACAGCACAATGCCACTAAGTTGCAAATTTTGAGGGAATTGGACTTTACTATTCTGTTATTTATACACAGTACGAGACACTTTGCCTTTAAATATGACAGAAATGAATTGTCTTGTGATGGAGCTCTTTGCTTGCAGACCCTCCAGCTGCCTCTTAAATGCTCCTAGTACTTCTTCTTTCGGCTTTTCCCTCTTCAGGGGTCTCCACAGTGAGTCATCCTCCTCCATCTCACTCTGTCCTCTGCATCCTCTGTCCTCACTCCAACTACCTCCATGTCTCTAACTGCATCCATACATCTCCTCTTTGTCTTTTTCCTGGAAGCTGCATGTCTAACATCCTTCTACCAATATACCCACTGTCCCTCCTCTGGACATGTCCAAACCATCTCAGTCTGGTCTCTCTACCTTCATCTCCCAGTTGTTCAACCTGTGCTGTACCTCTGATGATCCTGGTACAAAACTGTGTTACTGACAGAATTTTTAGACCCTCACAAACTTGCATCCTCACATTTACTGTTTTTCTAGCTAAATCTGTGCAACCCTTCTGTGTGGCCTTATCAAAAAGATACCAGGCTTTCTAAATTACAGTAAGGCATCAGGTAGGCACATCTCTCAGCACATCGCATTTTCAGAGTCAACGCATTCCTGCATATTATCAGGTATTACTGGACTGACGTGATCTGAAAGCAGACCTGATGCTGTGGTGTAAGTAATAACTGTCTTGCATACAGGATGAGCACTACCTCAGTGTCTGCACTGGCGTTGGAATGAGATTCTGCTTCTGTTTCCTTCGCTTGATCCAACTTTACTTGCTCTTTCTCTTCCACTTCCTCAGCGTGACCATTCACTTCTGGGACAGGGCTCTCCTCTTCTTCTGCCGTCTTGCTAGCAGGTTCCTCTGTGGACTGGTCTTCTTTAGTCGGGGAGGTCTAAATGGGTAAGAAAAATGTCAACCTCAGCATACATATTTAATAATCTTATTTCAATATAGCAGTGTGAGGGTACTTTACCTGGCTTTGAGACTTCTGTTTCTTAAACCATGTTGGCAGATACCGAGATATTCCTTTGCCGTCTTTTTCCTTCTCCTTTTCCTTCTCCTCTCCTTCAGCGTTTGCTACTTCCTCGAATTCCTGCTTAGTCTTCTCTGATTGGTCCGGCTGAGCAGCTGACTCCTCCGCGTTCTCCTTCACCTCTGTCTCAGAGCCTGCTTCTGTCGTCATGGCGACCGGTCAATCTGCAGAGAGAAAGCAGAGGGATGGAGGAGCCTTAGACTGGATCTTTTAATAACAAATGTCTTCGATTCACAAAACGGATGACAGAATACAAATAAAAATTATATTACAAATGTTTATTAGCTCATTTTGATACTCTAACAAAGATGCACGTACGTAATCATAAATCCTCTTGGATCTCTTTTGTAAAAGCAGATGCAAACACGTGAGTTCAAGATGTCTGAGCCACAAGAGTTTTCATGTAGGTCAACAGCTAAACAGCTGGCTGCAAGGCGAACAGTTATACATAAACGCAAGCACACATTAAAAAAACTGTGAAAAAGGAGGGAGTTACTTAATTCTTCATCTCTGAGTCACTGTTTTCACCCTGCAGCTGTGGTCAGAACACACATCTACACTCTTCAACCCAAATATCTTTGGCAGCCCTCTCCACACACACCCCATCAAAGCAACAGACACTTTTATGCAGCACAACCCTAATGTGGTGATAACACTACACGACCATGACAACGGCTTTGAGGGAAAGTTGAGGTCATAATTGGGCAAGTCTACAAACTAAGTCTATTTTTTATATTAGTCATTAACTGTCTTTAAGTAAATAACTAAGGCTGTGTGGTGTCACCAGAGAGGGTGGTGTTTTGGTGAATTGATCTTGGTTGTAGTTCAGCAGAAACAAAATTATTGTCCTGATCAGGAACCAATCTTTGAGAACAAATTTAAAAAGTAACTACAGATCCGCAGGATTAAAAAGAAATGAATAATTACATTAATTTTGGGTATATTATGGATATTGTATCATACGTCAAACAATAGATATTACAAAAAGGTTAGTGAAGGTGAGCATGTGATCGAAAGGTCGCCAGTTCGACACCCCCAGACCGACAAAAAAAATGTGGGTGGGAAAAGTGAAGCACCTACACCTGCCTCCACACTCAATTGCCCCACACTGGGCCCTTGAGCAAGGCCCTTAACCCCCCCCACCCCACCCCCCCCCCCCCACCCCCGCAGCTCTCTGCTCCACACAGAGGGCTGTGGTAGCTCGGTGGTTTGTGGTTGCGTGAGGAAGGCATTCGGCATAAAACAAATGCCAAGTCTTCATGCGAGTTAGTTCGATGTAGCGACCCCTGAAGAAGGGAGCAGCTGAAAGAAGGTGAAAATAAAACAAATAAATGAAAATATGTAAGTGTGTTTTAAATGTTCCAGCTCTGACTGTGTCCCATCATGTCAGATGCAATTTACAAAAGTTCCTTTAATTCTATCCCCATGCACGCTCAGTAATCCAGATAGAAAAATCTAACAAAATTAAGTCGGGTCCTCTGGAAAGATAAAAAAAAAAAACATAATAATAATAATTATTATTATTATTATTTATTATTATTATTATCCTTTAATTCTCCTCATTGCAGGTCAAATAAAAATCAACTCAAGCAAGCATATATACCTTTTTACATTAGAGAAGTTTTTTTGATTCATATTTGTTTTATTCAAACCATTTAAATGCAAATAAAAAACAACAACAAAGGAGTCCTGGCTAGTGCCACTTATTGCTTTTTCTTCAGCTTTTGTTTGTTTGTTCCATCTCATCACTCACACCATGTTCTTTCTTTCTCTTTCTTTGTAGGGTTTTCCAATAAATCCTTCATTTTCATTTTAGACTATTGTAACAGTTCTTCGACCTTCTCTCGTTTGCTCTGCCATGTTTGACAAAAGAGGACACACACAAACATCTATAATGCAGCAGTGGTGCGTAGGGAGGGGGCAGGAGTAAAAATAGAACAGGTCTTCTTACGCATGATTGGCTAATGTTGCAGGGCGGGAGAAGATGGATAAAGGTGTGTGACTGTGTCTGTATTCGGCAGAAGATAAAAAAGACAATACTCTGTTCTAAAGATGAGATCCAAGTTAAATAAATCATCAAATAAACACTATATGGTTTATTATTTTTCTAATCTTCAAGAAAACCAACACTTATATGGCTTTCAGAAATTTCTGTTTTGTTTTTCTTGCATAACAACTTTTAGTTCTTTGCTTTAGAAAAAAACAAGAAGATCTTTCCTAAAGTAGTAAATATATTATTTTGTTTAATATTGATCAAGTTTTGTATTTTGCTTTAGGAGTATTTGTTAGTTTTTGTTGTTATCAGTAATAAAATAGAAGTTTATGATAATGTACAGGTGTAAACACAAGTAAAAAGTATAAAAAATACTGAGATAGAAACTGGCAGGAATATAAGTGTACAACAATAAATTTGCATGAACAGCAAAAATATTTGAGGCTGAAGTTGTTTTAAGATGGAAGTAATGGATGACGATTATTCATGCCTGGTTTTCATGATTTGTATGGAGAAACAAACAAACAAAAAAAGTAGCTCAGTGTCCCTAGCCCAGACATGGGTTATCAGGGTCCAACCCTGGAGCCAGACCGGGGGAATGGGTTCGTCAGCGAGCGCCTGGTGACCAGGTCTATACCCATGGGGCCCAGTTGGGCTCAGCCCAAACGGCAACATGGGCTTGCCTTCCTGTGGGCCTACCACCTGCAGGAGGGGCATTATGAGTTAGGTGCATGATGCTATGTGTAGTGGCCGAAGGCAGGAGCCTTGGCGCTCTGACCCAAGCTTACCAAAGTTGGCTTTTGCGACACGGAATTTAACCTCTCTGGTGCAGAAGGAGCCTGGGTTTGTGTGTGAGGTTGAGAGGTACTGACTAGATATAGTTGGGCTCACCTCAACGCACAGCATGAGCTCCAGAACCAATCTCCTTGAGATGGACTGAACCTTATTCCACTCTGGATTTTCCAATGGTTAGAGGCACCGAGCTGGTATGGGTATACAGTAGTCCCTCGTTTATCACAGGTGTTAGGGACCATGGGTAGTTTCCTGCACCTTCGGGTAGGGGGACGGCCTCTGACGGTTGTTTGTGCCTACATGCAGAATGGCAGTTCAGAGTATCCGGCCTTCTTAAAGTGGGGTGGTGGGGGTGGATGAAGACACGTCCTGAGCTGCGCAGTGTGCTGTTTATGCCGACAGGTTTGTTTTGGTTTTTTTTTTTTTTTTTTTTTTTGGGGGGGGGGGGGGGTACAGCTGCGCACTGTTTGCACTGACAGTTTTACAGTTTTAGAGCAGGGGTGAGGGAGAGGAGAGAGACAGAGACACATCTCAGCAGCGTGATGTTTTCTCCGACAGTTTTTGAGTGGGGCGGGGGGGGGGGGTTAGTGTGAGGGACTGAGGGAAGAGGCTGTCTTTAGCTTTTTAGCTAGCGTACCTGCATTGCCATCCGCAAGTGTGGCATTACGTCAGTGCCGACAGGTCCTATCGAGCCTTGTTGGCTGGTGGGACTCTGGAAGCAGTTGAGGAGTACCGGAGGACTAAGAGGTTCACAGCCTTGGCTGTTGCTGAGGTAAAAGCTTGGATGATGAGGGAGGAGTTTGGTGAGGCCTTGGATAGACTCTCGGTCGGCTCTGAGGAGATTCTGGCAAACCATCAGATGACTGAGAAGGGGAAAGCAGCGCTTTATTAACACTGTTCAGTGAAGGTAGGGGAGCTCAATAAGTGATGTCATCGGGAGGTGGAAGGAATATTTCTCTGACCTTCTCAATCCCACGGGTTTCTTCCATGGAGGAAGTTGAGTCGGGGGACTTTGGGGTTGGTCTGTCCATAACGGTGGCTGAGGTCACCGTGATAGTTAAGTTCCATGGCGGCAGGGCTCCAGTGGTGGATGAGGTCTGTCTTGATTTCCTTAAAGCTCTGGATGTTGTGGGGCTGTCTTGGTTGACACACCTTTGCAACAGCATGGACATCGGGGGGCAGTGCCACTGGATTGGCAAACTGGGGTGGTGGTTTCCCTCTTTTAAAAGGGGGACCAGAGGGTGTGCTCCAATTATAGGGGCATCACTCTCCTTAGCCTCCATGGTAAAGTGTAATGGTGTAATGGTAGATATGGGTGTATTGAACTGTTTCAGTACAGCGTGGTCAGTTCGGTCCACCTGCGTACCGGTTAGGTGTTTTTTTCACTCATTAAATTTTATTAACGAGAGATTATGAGCCATGGAACTAAAGTTCCTTAGCATGTTTCAGCACGATGCTATTAATTGTTGTATAGCCTTGCAGCACGCGTAGCATTAGCAGCAAGCATCTCGTTGCAGTTTCCTATTTGGGAACATTATGGCTTTCTTGTTAAAAGACAAGTGAACAAATCCAAAGGTGTGTATCAACATTGTTTCACGGAGATTGGATCTGCAGCAGGCAACACATCTAACTTGTTAACGCGCTTGAAACGACATCATCCGAATGTGAACGTCTATTCTAGCAGCTTGGTGCAGAGACTGATAACAGCAGTATTTAAACAACCTTTATCAGGTAATTCAGATTGGTCCAAAGCAATAACACAAGCTGTAGGCGTTATTAAAGCTCTGGATCTACGTCCGTATTCTGTTGTTGATGCCACGACTTTAAGCATATACCATACCATACCACTTTATTTATAAAGCACTTAAAACAGCAACAAGGCCAACCAAAGTGCTGTACAGACAAAACAACAGGTAACACACAAAGCATGAGCATATGATTAAAGACTTGAGCCCCGCAGCCTACGGCATCCCATCACGTCAACACTTCAGCCAAAAAGTTGTAGCAGCACTTTATGAAAAAGCCAAAAATGATTTTGTCAACAAGCCCGACCCTAGATTTAAAGCCCTGCTTGATGAGCGAGAGAGAATATTCAACAGAAGTGATGACCGTGCAAGAGGTATTGTTATTGTATTATTATGATCTAATTAACTTTTTTAATTTAAAATTATATTATTAACTCAATTTTTTTTATCTCTTTGTGCTGTTTGCAGTCTCAGGATGTCAACGAGATAGAGCTGAGTCTTCTTCATTTACCAGATCACCTCCAGCTAAGAAGTCTATAATGACTGAACTTGTTTACTTGGCATATTTTCAAAATAAACATTGAGTAAGTCTTTATTTTGGCCTTTTTTTGTACCGAAAATTAACCGAACCGAGCCCTCCTTGAAACTGAACCGAACCAAAAGGTGATTTTAGCATACCATTACACCCCTAGTAAAGTCTTATGGGGTACTGGAGAAGTGGGTTCAATTGTTGGTTGAACCTTGCATCCAGGAGGAACTATGCAGGTTCTGTACTGGCCGTGGAACACTGGACTGGCTCTTTCCCCTCATTAGGGTTCTCGAGGGGTTGTGGGAGTTTGCCCATACAGTCTACATGTGTTTTATGGACTTGGAGAAGGCGTTCAACTGTGTTCCTTGGGATACACTGTGGGGGTGTTCCATGAGTATGGGATTGGGGACCCGTTGCTACCGGCTGTTCGGTCCCTATGCAAAAGGTGTAAGAGTTTGGTTTGCATTGCCAGCAGTAAGTTAGACCTCTTCAGGATGGAAGTTGGGCTCCACCAGGGATGCCCATTGTCACCGATTCTGTTCAAAGTTTTCATGGAATATATTTATCAGTGCAGCCATGGGGTTGAGGGAGTCTGATCCGGTGGCCTCAGGATTCCATCTTTGCAGATGATGTGGTCCCACATGCATCATTGTGCTATGATTTTCTTCTCTCACTAGAGTGGTTTGCAGCTGAGTGTGAAGCGGCTGGGATGAGAATCAGCACATCCAAATCTGAGGCCATGGTCCTCAGTCAGAAAAGGGTGGATTGCTCTCTTCAGGTCGAGGGTAAGATTCTTGAAGAAGTTGAGGAGTTTAAGTATCTTGGGGTTTTGTTCACGACTGAGGAAAGAATGGAGTGTGAGACTGACAGATGGAATGGTGCAGCGTCTGCACTCTGCAGTATTGCAGACTCTGTGCTGGTCCGTCGTAGTGAAGAGGGAGCAGAGCTGTAAGGAAAAGCTGTCTATTTACTGGTCAGTCTATGTTGCTACCCTCAACTATGGCCATGAACCTGTGTAGTGACCGAAAGAATGAGATTGCAGGTACAGAAGGTTGAAATGAGTTTCTTCAGCAGGGTAGCTGGACCCTCCCTTAGAGATAGGGTGAAAAGTTCAGTTAGCTGGGAGAGACTCAAAGAACCGCTGTTCCTCCACATCGAGAGGAGCCAGTTGAGGTGGTCCGGATCTGGTAAGGATGCTCTCTGAAGCCTCCCTATGGAGGTAATTTGGGCATGTCAGTCTGGGAAGAGACCCTGGGAAAGACCCAGTATTCAATGTGGGTTTGTATGATAACACTTTGAAATAAATAGAGTTTAAATTAATGATTCAAACAGTTTGTGCTTGTTTGTGTTACAACATATGGCATCAATTAGCTCGAATAACTGAGAAAAGATGGTGATAGATTAAAGATGCTAAATCTGTGTCCCACCCACTTAGGTTTGAATCTCCTTCTCCTTGATATTTTACTGTATCCTATCCTCGTGTATTCTTTAAACCAACCAATTTCACAGTTTCACCCTTCTTCCTCCTCAGAGACCCTGTGTTTCTCAATGAACTCACAGTGTTTGTGTGAGATGGCACTCAGATGGCGCTTCGTCACGGTAGCTTAAGTCCGCTTTAAAACTTCCACTCCTTCTCTACAGCTATGTAACATCGGGAACCTTGTTCCACTGCTCTAAAAACCTCAGCTTACTCGCTCCTCATCTTCCCCCCTCATCTATCTCTTTAGCCCAGAGAGCCCTTTTTCTCTCTTTCACTAAATCTCTACACTCATCTTTTATCTCTCTCTTCCCAGGCCCCACTTTAACCCGCTCTTGAATGTATTATCATTTTCCAAACTCATCCTATATCTCCTTTTTTCTCATTGCCATAGCATAGCAATTCCAATCAATATGCAAATGTTAAACAGTTCAAGTCAACTTTATATAGTTGTAGCTTGGGAACAAGCTAAAACTGTGACAGACGTTTCATACTACGGTCAAATGAAAGGTAAATGTGCTGAATCATACACTCATTTCCTTGTTTCTTCCACAAAGACAAGTGCATCTTCCCTCATAATTTGTTTATAGGCATGTACTGCACTCAGGTGTTACACTTTATGAAGGCTTAGAACAAACAAGCATCTAAACAAGCGTAAAGAATCCAGAAAATTGACTCGAAAAAGAAACACAAAGACAAACCTCATCTAGAACTCGTCTTGTATCATGTACACACAAACACAAAAACAGTGTTTATGAACATGCCTATTTCAGTGTTTTCTTGGTATATTCTGATATTAGTAATTCTCTCCCGTACTTACTTAGCTTATTTCATCCTTTTAATCATTATCTGAAAGCTTGTATAAGCTTACTACTTGTTGTTTAACACACCTTTGTCTATTTCATATGATGTGAATTACATACAAGGACGTTAAGAAAAGCTCTTACCCAAGTAGATGATTAGCAAAGATGTAAAAATAACTAAATTGCTGTGGGACACTGAATGGATCCCTATAGTTTTAATGCAGTAACTTTTTTAGCGGTACTTCACCAAACAGTAAATCTGTTTACACCTTATATGTCTGCCTGTTAGTATTTGTTTTCAAATGAATGGTTGAATTAGTGGTTAAATGACCCGATGAACTTATGGCCTTACTTACTGTTGCTTCTGTTCTTTTCTCTCCTGTAACTCTTCCTTGTACAGTGTCCCTTCTGTCTGCTCTCACGTTCCTTCAGCTCCCTGTTTATTGTTCTATTTGCCGTTCTTTCCCTCACTTTCACTTCCCACCTACTGCCCTATAAACTAATGCCATTTTCTACCCTCCATCCTCTCTCTTCTCGTCCTCAGAGCTCTGCTTCCCCCGAGGACTGTCGCTCACAGAAATGAGGGCAGAAAATGAGGGAGCACTCGACAGGGAGGGGGAGGAGACAGTGAAGACAACTATAAGAGAAAGGGAAGTAGAGGAGTGGAAAGTGGAGACGTAAAATGAAAAAAAAAAACGTAACGTCTAATGTGCTATGATTGCTAATGGACAATAAGAGGCATCGGAACTACACTTCCTCTGCTCACTTTTGTTATTGTCTGTCCATTTTTCACATCGTGTAGGAAAATCCTCCACCGTCTATGAATATCTGTCTGTCAATAATCCACACAATATTGTTTATACCTTCAGAAATGTTTATCAGTTAGTGAAAACTAGGGATATTTAAGCATAACTCTGGCTTTTCTATTCGAAATCATTTTAAAATACCATAAAACTACGCAATTACTTTATGGTGAACAGTAAAACTTTGCAACTGACTTTAAGATCCAATGAAAAGAAAAAGAGGGCTAAACAGAATACCACGCGGACAGTAAATTCAAGGAACGGTCTTCAAATTCCTGCGCTGTGAATAGTTTTGTTTACTAGGACCAGTGCTGATTAGATTATACCTTTCAGCATTATTGTTTTTATTCTTAAAACATTATATTTTTGTCACACAGGCAGACCTATTACGAGTTCTTCAATAGACAACTTTATTACCATCTGACCGGGTGCTTTATTACAACTTCATGGTCTGTTCTGAAGCTTGAAGATAAATGTGTGATAGATGAGCACAAAATGCAAAATAAAAAAATTAACGGAAGCATGACAGATTTGTGTTGATCTTCTGACTTTAATGACTTTTTATCACGCTGGTTTTATTGTATTTTCCTGCTAAGTTTACTGCAACTGGGTTTAATACAAAAACATATAGATAACCACCCACCCTTTTCTATGGGGCGTAGCAGGGTGAGAGTGGGGAACTGGTTTCCATGGCGAAGGCATTCATGAACTACAACAATAAATCCACATGGAGACAAGTGATTACCACGGCAAAAATACAGATTGCTGCACAAGTGAAATGATGACAATAGAGATTATTACCGTGTCTAACCCCGTTTCAAAGCACATTAAATTTACAGGCAATATTTATTCAGGACCTCCTGGTGCTGTAACAGCTATTTTTAACTCTTTTGTCTCCCTGATGTTCAGTAAATGCATGCACACTACAGTGTAAACTGGAGGAAAAAAACAGTAGAATATATACTGAAATGCTAACATAGTAAAGTACTTTTGTCTTAAAGACAGTAAAACCTCATTGAAAAGGGTGAAAAACTCTAAACTATACATGAACATTCAGATGTTTGCAGTGCTAGATTAAAAGCTAGAAATCCAAAAATCTCAAACTTGTTTTGAAACAAAACAGAGCTATTTAGGTGTCAATCCATTTTCAAAGCTGCACTGTTTGCCAGTTCATTTCCTCCGCAGTTAACCAGGTCATCTTGTCATAAAATGGTTTCTGACAGAAAGAGTACAGAGGACTTCAATAAAGAAACAAAAAACAGAAGAAGAAAAAAGGGCTTTCGGCTTTCTTTCAAGACTAAACGTGGTTTGATTTTTCATTATTATTATTATAGCTGAGGGTCAAGGCTCTGGTACTTGGTGGTCAGTGCGGCGGTCTTGTAAGACTTAGGTTGCAGGTTCGAGCATAGGTGGCATCAGGAAGGGCATTCGGTATAAAACAATAGCCACATCTTTCTTGCAAGTTCACTCGCTTTGGCGACCCCTGCAGAAAAGAGCAGCTGAAAGAAACTTACCTTATTATAATGGAGGGTTATGGGTGCCTTTTTACTGGACAAAGTACTAAATACCACCAAGTTTTTCTCGAACTAGCCGAAGGTGCAAAACTCACAGAACTTCCTTTAATCCTTCAAAATAAGATTGATAATCCTATACATTTTCACAAAACACTTCAAGTTGGGATTTTGACGCCTTCAGACTGCCTCAGTTTTTGTAAACAGATCAAGGCAGCATGGAGGGTCAAAGTCAACCCACCCCGATGCATCTTTGTGCTGCAAAGCAAGGTAGTAACAGAGCCGAAACGGTCTTGTGAAGCAGTGTTTCCCCTGTCATTATACAAGCAGGATGCTCCGCCCTGTCAACAGAACTGAGCGCCCCGCCTACCGAACCGAACTGCGTGCACCCACCCCAACTCTATCGGCACTGACGTAGCGCTAGGCTAGCGGTGCGCGACACAGGCGCCCTGGCTAAAAAGCTAAAGGCAGCACTCACGCTGCCTCTTCCCTCACGCTGAACCCTCATGCTTAACACCCCCCCCCCCCCCCCAATCGACAAAAATGATGGATGAGATGAGTGCCCCGCCATGGCAAGTTTTCCAGCAAAAACACTGGAAGGAGTAAATTTACAGGATATTACAGCTTAATAATGAGGTGATGACATATGGTTTCATAATCATCCAGTCGCAGGATTAAACAAAAACAGATTTATTACTGAGGAAAGTATTTGACAATGCACAGCAACTTTGTATTTAGTTTTAAAATGAGTTAACCCCAAAAAGGATCACTAAACTGAATTTGGCATCTTCTAAAATTGATACGAGGGAGTCGTTTGTCAGACATTTCATGCGTCACATCTGAACTGCTCCACGTCTCTTAAAGGAGGAGAGTTTTCATGTATCAGCTCCAGACCCAGATTCAAGTTTCAGTGTGCTAAAAGAATTTCCTTTTTCTCACAATCTGTTCTGAAGCATAAAGTCCCAACAAAACATGTGGTGTCTTATGTTTTTGTACCTTTGATGGTTTGGTTTTTGAATCCTTTTGCAATCTCAAAAAACATTTTGTTTCCCCCATTTCACCTTAGTCTGGAAAGCGTATTTCAACTTTTTCTTAAGATTTCCGCTTTATTCTTAAAACTTGCAGACACAAAAACCTTCCTCCTCAATGTTTTGTCTACTATCCGCATTACGCCATTATACTTTCACATGGTTGAGTCTAAAATAATAAAATCTTTATTATGCCTATCTTACATGCGGATGTCCAAAAAGCTCGAAACTGAGCCAACGAGTTACAGCTTTCCAAAATATTGCATCATAAGCCAACAGCAGACACATACGCAGCCACAGTTTTGACATACTCTTCAAAATCAGAAAGGAAAATCCAAACATGTGCTCTTGTATGATCTCTCCATCTACCATGTGACGACACATGAAAACACACAAAACTCTGCATAGATATGAACATACAGAGGCAGATACAGATCAGCTGATTCCAAAACAAATCTCACAAATCAACTATAAACAAGCTATTGATTTGTGATTCCTACTACAAATACATTCCAATGTGCACACACACACACAGAGATATGTGCAAGCACCAGTGGTGTGAAAATTTGGACCATGCTGGTCTCTTTACGCAGCACTCTGACCCTCAAACAGAGGATTACACAAGGGATAATCCTTGTGTATGTTTGTTTATGTGTCTGTCTTTCTGCCTGCCTGTCTATCTCTCCATCCAGTCAGCCTTTCCTCTAACTCAGGGGTGGGCAATTATTTTTTTCCATAGGGCCACATGAGAAACAACAAATATTGTGGAGGGTTGGCACAAATGACTTTTTCATTCAACCTTTAGACAGGTAAATCCCATTGAGCCTCGAGGACTCATTTACAAGAGAGACCTGATTTCAACTTAACTCAATACTGCATAATATTAGTATTTCATTATTAAAAGCAGTACATAGCACTGTTTTAACAAGCTTGTAAGAGTATTTGTTATAATTAAGCAATGAAAAAACGAGGTTTCCTCACAAAAAATGTAATTTATTCAATTAAATTTCCCAATACAATGGTAAACTGTTAACATTTTTACCATTTGTGACGTTATATTAGTGATCATTTTCAGTCACATTCACCCCAAAACTCATTTTGAGTTTTATATACTGCTGGAAAAAGTTCTTAGCTTTGTAAATATATCACAATATTGTCTTTGTACTCCAAATATTATGAAACATCATATAATAGTGATCGTCACTGAACTGTGATTTTGAGTCCCGGTTCTTTACGTGCCTACATTTGTAGTCTAAACATCTCATTTGGTGTTTTTCAGTTCTTTTTTCTTGTTTAGTGAGAGAAGTCTAGTCTCTGTTGGGCTTTAACGGAAATGTTAAAGTCAGGTTGAAGGTCTGAGGTGGAGATGTGAAGCAAAGCTGACATCGTCAGTGAGAGAGGATCTATATCTGGATTTGGTTAACTTCATTTGTTTACATATGTATTTTGTAATTCCCCTTACGGGGGCCGGTCAGAGTCAACCAAAGGGCCGCATGTGGCCCTGGGGCCGTACAACGCCCAGGTCTGCCAATGTTTCAATGTTCATCTACACCTGATTTTAATTACCAACTCGGTTAAACAACGTAGGCAGTCACACAATTGCTCCCCAGTGTCTCACTTGCTCCCTTGTGTCCTCTTTACTTTCAGTGTGAGCTTTAATGAAATTTCATCTCAGAGTGATTCTTAAGAGATCAACACCGTGTCATTACTTTTAGTTTTTTCATCATTACTCTCTACTCACAGCTACAATTGTCTGCTGCAAAACACAAACCGTCAACAAAAGCAGTTCATACATTTCTTATACAAAATGTAAATGGTAAATGGACGGTGCTTATATAGCATCTTTTTAGCTTATGAAGACACTCAAAGAGCTTTGCACTACAATCTGTATCCTCATTTACCCAAGCACTCTACAGAAAATAATCAGTGCTTTATCACATTCATACACCGATGGACACACATCAGAGGCAATGAGGGGTTCAGTTAGGCCTGTCACAACAACAAATTTTGCTGGGCGATTAATTATCTCAGAAATTATTGCGATAAATGATAATATTGTTTGAAATGTGTTAATAATTGGTAATTATTGTCAAATTTAAGAAGAAATGTTGCTTAATTTTGTTTTGAGTGTAGTACCTTTTTTGACCACTGGATGGCAGTATAATACTGTTAGAACAGAAGGATGGATAGTGAGGGAGCGAGCAGCATCTCTAGAAAAAATGGGAGG